AGATCTCAATTAAAACGGGCACATATGTCGTGACCCAGCATCCCTCGACACTAAATGTCACCTATTGGCACCTGCTCACCAGCTTTAGTGTCAGTGATTTAAAGTGACGCGTTGGTGTCACAGCTCTGCCTGCAGCATTGTTATAAAAATCATCCACAGCAGACTCAGCTGTCAAAAGTGCTTATTAGCCCTCAGAGTGCACACAGGTCAAGTTGAGAAGCCTGAGAAAAGTGCACGACTGTTTCATTGTTCTCTGAATGGTTTTTAAAGCTGTTCGTTATAACCCCTGCACTCAGCCGGGACGGAGATGAATTTCCCATTCTTGCATGAGGATTACGTTACTGTTCCCACATTTAGAGAGCTGTCAACGTACCTGCCTGGCACTGAGTTTGACACTTTGGTTTCCAGCACTGCACAGAACTGTTGCTTTTCTCGCCAAACTTCAGGAACCCTTGTTGTTTGCAAATCCTAAACAAATACGACCCTTCGTTCAGTAGTCCCCCAGAAGCTCTAACAAAGGAATTCATAATCTTCTGTGAATAAATAGCTTTCTAATCTGTGGGTCATCTACCAGTCACAAGGTTGCTGGTTTAACCTGCATGATAAAGTATCCTTGGGCTGACTACTGAACTTAGGCATAGACGAGTGCTCGAATGAATGTGTGTGTGATTGGGTGACTTAGGCTTGTGATAAAAAGTGCTTTGTGTGTTCAATAAGGGTACAAAAGTGTTATATAAGTGCCAGTTTACCATTTGTAATGCCAAACTTAAGCGTTAGAATGACAAGTGCACAGATATCTTGGTTCTTAGTTGCTTTTACAATATCACACAACAACCTCAGTCTCTGCCACTGTGAGACAACCTCACTGAGGATCTTTTTGTCAATGGAGTTAATTTCTGGTTTTCATTATATCAGCGTTAACTGTCCCTCCTCTCTACGCTCAAGAATGAACGCCCCCTCGTGCTGGCGCTGGCCAAACTTCCAGCTAATGACCACGAGGACAAAAATGGGATTTCACCCAGCGTTCCACCTTAAATCTGTTTTCATCCTGAATAACAGCAGCTTAGAGTTTAAGTGTGAACTCAGAATCTGTTATTATTGAATCAGTTACAGACATTTCACGTCTTCATGTTCTGTTTCTATTGTTTTTCTATATCAATTGTACATATTTCTCCTGTTTGCTATTTATTCCTGCTGTCTACAATTTATATTTAACTCCGGCACAGTTGGTGTGGAGCACTCAGTTTCGTTGCACATGTGCAGTGACAGTAAAGGGCTATTCTATGTCAAGAAGCACTGCAGATGTGGATATTTGGGTTTTTTAAGGTGCGTGCTGTATGGAGATGTTGTACAATAGGAACTCTGGGGGGATCCTAACCTGACAGGTGTCTTTCTTTGGGAGCTAAAACTGTGAACAAGCACAAAAATCAATGTACTGATGGGCTTACTGGCAGGTGTGTTTCTTCTCTCATTGGCCTTTGATCCCTCATGTGTAGCTCTGATTCGTCCCCCTATAGATGCCCTGATACTCTCTGTTTCTCTTATCCTGTCTTCATGCCTCCACCTCCCTCACCTTTAATCCGTCTCTCTGTAACTGCCATTTCCTTACTGGATGGGTGAACTATGTAGCAGCGTTTCGTCCATTTGACTTGCTCCGTCCAAAACTCTGGGCTCTATTGATCTGTTGGCATACACACCTTGTACAAATGTGGGGAAAAAGCATTGATCTTTGAGCAGACTTGTTAGTGGAGAGCACCTCAGCACGTGTATCTAGCTCTGATTTTGACTTGAGGTATCTACAAATTCTTAATTAGCATCATTATGAGGGTAGAAACTGGTTACGCTAACCCACAGTGAACACTCTGTAATGTGGCAACCTTGATGTGCATGGTGACGATGTGGATTATACAGTGGGTTTCCATGCACAATAAACCTTCTTCATATTAACTGGAGTAATTGTACATTCAGTAATTTCTCACCCAGTGTGCACGACAGCTAATTAGCCTGCTTAGAATCATCTTCTATACATTCACCCGGTAATCAGCTACACAATATGATCACAGTACATCAGCACCATTGCCTAGAATAACAGCTCTTTCAACGAGCATCCATCGGCTCACCTTTTTATTTCATTTTCATTTTGCAGATGAAAACAGAGACTGAGATTTAACTCGCAGTAATTCAGTGGCCCATACAGCACCGTGACTCCAGAGGTACTCTTTGATTAGCTCTGGGCATCACAATCCATTTCCAACAAGACCCAGCTGACACATGCCCTAGATCACAGCTCACCTCTTACACAGTAGAAAGGCAACAGGCACGGTGAGTAAATAGCTTTACAAAGTCAGACTACACACTTCAACTCATGTTTTGCTGATTCTTGCAGCATTGATCTCAAGGGATCTTGAGACTAACTTGTCTGCTGCTGCTACAGCTATGATAGGTGTTGTTTCTGTAAGGCAGAAGTCAGGAATAAGCTGGAAGTAAAGAGGTTCCTTATAGTTTTCGAGTGAAGGTGAAGCAGGGACATTGCAGCTCATGTTTGATGGGTCTGTTTGTCCGTTTATGTCTACATCTCTACTATATATGACCCTTCTGTGGAGGTCTGATCCCAAAAGATGTGTACCTGCAGAGAACTGTCGACTAAAACTGGTTACTGGACATAACTCCAGATGAATGACATTTTCTTTGTAGTCTTTATTCAGACATTCAAAACAATATTGTAGGCTGGCAATAATGCACCAATGTTCCAGTCTTTCTAGTCTGATAGCTCAAAGCCAAACCTACATTTAACCATATATTGATACAGTGCTCTACTCCAGCGGTCTCCAACCTTTTTTGCGCCACGGACCGGTTTATGCCCGACAATATTTTCATGGACCGGCCTTTAAGGTGTCGCGGATAAATACAACAAAAT